CAGCAGTTAGCATAATGGTTATGTCGCTGGGCTTCCACGGAGTCGACCGCGGTTCATGTCCCAGACCCGGTGGCTTAAAACTCACACCGGGCGCGTGTGTGTGCATGCCCAAGATCCCGAGAGGAGAATGGAGGAGAAGGGATTGCGGCGTGACCATCCCCGCTGAGGGGTGATTTCTCGCTTTCTGTCTCTATGTCTCTCTGGCGAGCGCACGCACCCTATAGCGAAAACCTCTCCAAAAGAAAAAAAAAACATGCCTTCTGGGGCCAGCAAGTGGCATAGTGCTTAAGGCGCTAGACTCCTACGGGATTCTCATCTCGGACCCAGAGGCTTGGAAATCACGCCAGTTGCATGTGTGTGTGTTCTGAGAGGAAACTGGAGAAGAAGGGATTGCAGCATGGCTATCCCCCAAGGCAATGATTTGTCACTTTCCCTCTCACTATCTATCTGTCTCTCTCCAGTGAGTACACACACCCTATAGCAAAAAAAGTTTTGTTTTGTTTTGTTTTGTTTTTAACAAAAATGCCCTCTAATCTCATTTTATAGATCTTGTGGCAAAAGACAGGAAGTGACATAAGGTCACGTATTAACAAATATTCCTAAGTAATTCTCACAGCCACCACAATGACCTTTACAAAGGGCAAATCTGGTCAAGTCACTCCTCAACTTAAGATGTTTCATTACTCTAAGGATGGACCTCAAAGCCTCACACCACCTGTCTGCCTCCTGCTGCTCGCTGTAGCATCTCTATTTACTATGCTCACCCTGACAGCCATGACGGCCTGTTTTCAGCATTTTGAGGCACCTCGCTTCTGCCCACCATGGCACATTTCTTCTGCTTGGAAAACTCTACTCCAATACGACTCCCTGCCCCCATGACTGTGCTTACATTTCTATTGACAAAATATCACTTAGCCAGTTCTGTGCTTATGTGGGCCAGCCAAACTCTAAATTGGAGCCAATGGCTAGTAATCCACCATCTACTACCTCATGGTACTTGCAGTAGCTGAATGGCTACCATGGTGATGTATAATGCTGTGAAAAATATTGGCTTTTATCTGATGAGAGTTGATTTGATGCCCCAATTGATATCTCTCTCCGGAAGAAGAGGTCTGTTGCTTTGAAATACGTGGGTATTTATGTATGTCTCTTGATGAACTGTCAAGATAGAAAAGGAAATGCAGAGAAAGTACAAGGCAGAGCCCAATGTGGTGGGCAAGTCCCCACCTCCACTTTACTTCAAGGGCATATGTGTAAATTGTAGGTCTGTGGGTCTGCCCAGCTAACAATCTGCATGGTAGACAAACTATATTCATGTTAAAGAAGATCTTCAGGGTGGGACCACATAAACCAAGACTAGGAGAAGGACAAAAGATAGAGCCATCACTTATAAAATTATGAAATTAAGCTATTTTTGGCTAGGATATTTTAGCCTCCAGCATAGCTGTAAATTTGGGACTCTAGGGCAAAGGCTTTACCTTTCTTTCTAACCCATATGATGATAACCTCTCACATTCCTTTTTTTTTTTTTTTTAGAGATTTTTGCTTATAGGGCACACCCTATAGCAAACCCATATGATAATAACCTCTCACATTTTTTTTTTTTTTTGCTATAGGGTGACTTAATGATTTTCATAGACTCATGAATTTATAAATTTTTAAATATCAAAGAACATGTATTTTTTTTTAAATGGAAGTGTTTTAAAATGTACATATACAATGATTTTTACTTTTTTAACTTTACACACATGCACATACACACACATACATATAATTTACATAGTTAACAAGTACACAGTATTTTGAATTATTATTTCTTTTTAAATTATTTCTATTATTTCTCTTTAAATTTTTAAAAAGTTATTTAATTTTGTTATTATTATTATTTTTTAATTTGCTATAGGAAAAATGTGCTTGCCAGAGAGATGGAGAGAGAGTGAGAGAGGGAAAATGAAAAAGCAGGCCACTAGGTCTGTGACTCAAACCACAGATGGCCATGGGAAAGTTCAGCACCTCAACTACCATGCTATCAACTAGCCTTACTTCGTTATTTTTAAAAATACGTTTAAATATTTTCTGTTTGTGTATTCTATATATTCTTTTTTATGTCACTGAGAATTTTTATTTTACACTTACTGAAAGATATCGTCTAGGCCTAGATATTTTGTTATAAGTCTCTTTTGTGTGTGTGTGTGTGTGTGTGTGTGTGTGTGTGTGTATATATACATATATATATATAAACACTCTTGTGTATATATACATAATAGACACATACATATATTTATTTAACACAAGTTAATTAAATTGGCTAAGATATTTGAAAAACAGTGACAATGATATACAACTGCCATCTAACTGACAGCAATTTAAAAATCATACTGATTTCAAAGATGTGAAGATACATACACAATAATGAACTCCTTTGGACACACCCTCTTGCTTAGGGCCATCAGGTGGTGTGGTGGTTAAGATGTTGGACTCTGCACAAGACTCACCATAGTTTCAAATCCTGGACCTGGTAACTTGAAAATCACAGTAGGCATGCGCAACATCCCAGGAGGAGAATTAAGGAGAAGGTATTGAGGTGCACTCCACCCCGGGGAGGTGATTTCTCATGTTCCCTCTCACAATCTCTCTCTGGAGAGTGCACGTACCCTATGGAAAAGACCTAAAATAAAACATGAAAGAAAAAACAGAACAGTTCCTACTTTTTTGAAAGGCTCTGCCAGCATCTCTCAGATTACAGATCTGTCCTTCTCATCCTATATACCTACTCTTCTGAATTTTGTATTTATCATTCCTTCTTCTTTTTTTTTCTGGAGAGGTTTTGTTATAGGGTGCATGCGCTCACCAGAGAGAAACAGAGAGACAGAAATTGAGAAATCACCCCCCAGGGGGGATGGCCACACTGCAATCTCTTCTCCTACATTCTCTTCTCAGGATCTTGGGCATGGCATGCACACACACGCACCTGGCATGAGTTTAAGCCACCAGGTCTGGGACTCGAATCACAGTCGACTACATGGTCGTCTAGCGACATAGCCATTGTGCCAACTGCTGGTCACTATCATTCCTTCTTTTTAAAATATGCTTTCAGCAAATTTTTAGCCCTCAAACATTGTTTCATCTTGTTTTTGAATAGTTCTACAAATACAACTATATCATATATATTTTTCTCCATTTATTTTAACATTATGTAAGAGTCACTCACACTACTATTACAGAAAACCTGGCGATGAGGAATGGAAAGCAGCGCTTGGAGAGATTAAGAGAACTGTTAATTACACTGGCAGACACAGAGAAGTTAACACTCTAAATCTCGGGACCCAACTGGGGATTGATCAGAATCTTTTATGGGGGACTTGGGGAAGGGGGTGGTCTCAGAATGGGGAATGGGCTCTGAACCTGCCCTATGCAGAGTCAAAGGGAGGAGTCAGAGAAGCAAGAAGTCTAATCTATTCAAGGTACTAATCTATTCAAGACACTAATCTATTCAAGGTACTAATCTATTAAGATTTTCAGGGTATTCTGTACTCTGAGGAGGGGCAGTAAGTTTGCCGGAGGGCAGAAACTTCAGGCAGCTATCAGCCCTGAGTTATGAATTCAGGGTCTTTCTGTATCACTCCTGTGTGTGGCTGCTATTCATTTTCACTGTTATATAATAAATTATGAAAAACTGCACACATATTTCAAAAATTTTTTACACCAAAATAAACTTGTACTTTAACTCCAAATTTCCACAAATTTTTAAAGTCCCCTCATAGGCATCATAGGTATATAACACAATTTGTTAGTTCTTTTGTGAACAACTGGGCTATTTCCAGGGTTTTTCTCTGTTTGTTTGCTATAGGGTGCAAGTGCTTGCCAGAGAGAGACAAAGAGAGAGAGGGAAAGTGAGAAATCACCCCCCACCCGGGGAATGGCTATGCTGCAACTCCTTCTCCTTTATTCTCTCCTCAGGATTTTGGGCATGTGCACACATGTGCAGTGTGTTTTTCAAGTCACCAGGTCCAGGACTTGAACAGGGGAGTCGGTCATGTGGGATCCAGCTGCCTTAACTTCTATTCCACCTGCTAGCTCCTCCAGGTTTTGACATTATAATTTTTTTTTTACTTTATTCTCCTAGCAGTCTCTTGGCAAGTGCGTGTGAGAGCTTCTCCTGGGTATATATACCTAGGAGTAAGGAGAATTGCTTAAGATTAGGTAATGAGTCAGCAAACTTTTCTGTACAAGGCCAGGTAGTAAACGTTTTAGACTTTGCGGGCCATACCTTATCTCAACTACTTAAACCTATATTTTGGTATAAAAGCAATCATAAACAATATGTAAATAAATGGTTGTGCCCATGTTCCAATAAAACTTTATTTACAAATCCAGGCCATTGGCAAGATTTGGTTCTTAGGCCCCGATCTAGATGATGGGCTTCTCTATTCCAGTTGCATACAACGCTGCTCCCTCTCCTTCCTCTGAGGAGCTGTGAGTCCTGCCTTTGCTTATCTGTGCACCGAATTGAATGTCCATGTTCAGAGGCCCTCAAGGAGAGCAGAAGGATGGACACAGTGTCAGGGAGGTCATGGGGCATTCCAGCCCATAGTCTGAGATTTTCAGCCATAGTCTTGAGGAACCCAACAGCAGAAAGGGGTTGAGGCAGGTGAGACACGCACAGTGGCTCTGCTGGGTGGGAGGGAGATGGAGTTGTACCTGACAGGAGGCTGGGGGTGGGGGGAGTGTAGGGGTGGGGACGTGTCTCAGGCTGCAGCACAGTTAACATCACAGAAGTCACTGTGAGGTCACTGCCAGCCCATGGGACAGAGAAATTCAAACAGAGCAGACCAGCAGATAGTATAATAGTTACATCACTGGACCCACACATAGTCAACTATAGTTTGAGTCCAGACCTGGTGGCTTAAAATTCATGCCAGGCCCAAAATCTCAAGAAGATAATGGAGGAGAAGAGATTGTGGCATGACCATCCACCCTCCTGGCTTTCTGTCTCTCTGTCTCTGTCTCATGCACCCTTTAGCAAAAATCTTTCTGGAGAAAAAAAAATTAAAATGGAAAGCAGGATTTCTTTGGGAGGTGTATGGTTTTCTTTATTACTTAAACTGTAGTCATCAAAGCTGGAATAGGCTCTCTAGGGATGACTTCCTTAGCCCCAGGTCCCTGTTGCAGCTTCCTGGCTTCTACTTAAATGGATTTGCTTTCAAAGATTATGGTCTCCATGGTCTCAGACATCATGGAGCCAGTGATCTCCAGCTCCTGGCCATCCTTGGCTTCCTCTACCTTCGCCTCTATGTTGCACCTCTCCACCGACTTAGCCATGACGTCTAACTCTCTGTCATGTGATGCGACCCCTGTTTCTGACCTAGGGATGCCTCTGAAGCTCCTCAAGAAAGAGCTGATCTTACTGGGTTTCTTACTTAAAGAACCTGAGCTAGCTTTAGATCGACTCTTCCCTGTCTTGTGCACTTTCTTCGACCCTTTCACGATGGAGCTGTGACTGGAGCTTTTGTGAGAGGAGCCATGTCTTCTGCTCTTGACATTGCTCTGGCCTTTTTCCTTTTGGTCATCTCTCCTCTTTCCATGGCTGGATATGGACCGGTGAGAGGATGATTTCCGGGTCTTGTCTCCCCCTGTCCTGTGGTGACTTTCCCCTGTCCTGTGGCGACTTTCCCCTGTCCTGTGGTGACTTTCCCCTGTCCTGTGGTGACTTTCCCCTGTCCTGTGGCGACTTTCCCCCGTCCTGTGGTGACGGGAACTTTTTCTAGAAGAGGTTCTGTCTTTTTCTTTCCTTTCCTTTTTTTCCTTCTGGATTTCAGCACTGGGCGGGGAAACCTTCTGGCTTCCATCTCGTTCACTCATGTAGCCTTCACTCTGCAAGGTTGACACAAGGGGTCCCATCGCTTGTTTTTTGGCTCTTCCTGCAGTAGGCGCACTAGTTGTCAAGACACCAGCAAACACCACACTCGAGTTGCTGTCTGGAGAGATGCTGGAAGCCCCTGTTGTCATGGTGGAAGTCCCCACTGAGGAGCTGCTGGCAGCACCCACCAAGACCATATTCATCCCATCCGAGGACACGTTGGCCGCACCTGCCAGGACCTTGCTGGATTTGCTTTCTCTTGAATCCTGGGTGGCTGCTCCTGCTAGGGCTGTGGTTACCTGGCCTGGACCTGTGGACTTGGCTGTTGCCATGCCCATAGCACCTGTTGCAGAGCTGGCGGCTGTCCCTGCTATTGCCAAACTTGCTGTGGAGCCTGAGGATGCCCCTGCTACTGCCACGCCACCTGCTGTCCCTGCTGTTGCTCCTTTGGCAGCTTCTGGAGTACTCGTGGCTACAGAAGCTGCACCAGCCATTCCACGGGAGGTTTTCTGGACCCCCTCTCCCCCAGCATAAGCGGAAGAGGTGGCCGCAGACACCTCGCAAAGCCTGTGAAGCCCCACCTCATTCTGATCGCCTTCTCCACGGAGCTCTGAGGCCTGTGCCAAGGAGAAAGAAACAGGTGAGATAGACACAACAGTAACAGAGACCAGCACTCTGCTGTCCTCGCACCCTGCAGCTGAGCAATTCGATGGTGTATAATTAGAATAACCTTTGGGTTCATCAAGGCTAAGCTCCCATGTGTTGCAAGATCTTGTCTACAGCAACCCTCTCTAGGCATCACTGTTGTTTGAACATATCTAGGACCAGAGAAAGCACAGATAGCCTTCTCCAACTCTGAACATTTTACTGGACACACTTTTATTTATATCTCTGCATGACAGATTCCTAGAATAAAATTTCTCAGTTAATGAATACACACATTTTACATTTTGATGGCTACTAAAGCTAGCCAAGTGCATACACACATGCAAACTGTGCTGATTTATGCAGAGCCAGTTCAGGTTAGTCACAGGGAGACAGACCAATACCTCTTAAGAAAGCCTGTCTTTTCCAAACAGTTAAGAATTGTCCTATAACAAGTAAGACTACCTGGATTGGGGTAGTAAGTGTTCAAGAGGAGGCTGGATGATTGGGATGCTATAGAAGGGATTAAAACCCTAGATATGACCACCACAGGGGCTGATATCTAAGTTCACTGAAATTTAGCCTTGTGAGACACCCCAGAGAAGCCCGTGAACATCCCCATGTGGTGAGGTTCCTGATGGGAGCTCATTTGGTCCGAGGCTCCTTCCAGGTGAGCCCCTGGAATACCCTTTCCAGGCGGGCCAGAGAGCATCAGATGCTTTGTAGGACCAATTTTGAACTGCTTTCTCAAAACACCCAGCCCTACCTTCTTGAGTCTCCATAGATACTTACCACAAGGCTTTTGTCATCCTCTGTGGTTGTTACATCCCCAGTTTGCACCGTTGGGGTACTGCTGAAACTCTCTACTGGTGGCCTCAAGAGATAGACAAGTTTTTCCCAGTAGGAAAAGAGATCTTCTCGTGCATCTGAAGAAGGACACAGCTGTAGATAAAAAGTACGACCCGTGGCCAGCTTCAGGCGCAGCTGCTGTTTGTCACGATCATGGATGGAGATCTTGACGAACTTCAAGGGAAGTAGCCTAGTAAGCTCCAAAGTCTTGGAGGGCTTGTGGCCTTTCCCCTTGGTGTGCCGACCAGCTCTGGTGTGCTCTTCACAGACTTTAGCTGGTCGGGCCAGCAGCATGACATCAGGTAGTGGGAGGATGGGGCTGGTGGACGCAATGCCCACCGTTACCATTCGGACTCGGTTGTGTACATCAATCACCTCTCCTTTTTTGCTGATCTGGATAAAGTCACTCTCAAACATAGGTGCATACTTGAAAATGTCATACTCTCCTCCCTTGTACAGTTGTCGTTGCAGGTCCCCCATCGAGGTATTAAAGACACCCGTTGAGCGGTAGCTGTGGGCCGTGTAGTAAGGTAATGAATATTCATTGCTCATGGTTCTCTTCATTTCAGACAGCTCCACCAGCCACAAATGGAGTCCCTGAGAGAAAGAGGGAGTAAAAGCAACCATCCATCTCCCTACAAGACTTCTGCCTAAATCTCCTCCTCACACCACTGCATTTATCCTCTACTGTCCTTTGTGACGTGTCACCATCACACATCCTTTTGTCATCACCTCCAAGCAGCTACCCTCTTGGGGCAGGGTCACCAACCTACCTTCTTAAACAAATCACCATCTCCACAGGGGGTACACGCTGGCCCAGCTAGGATTTAGGTGTAGATAGTCTGGACATTCTTTGTTTTTTTTTTGAATTATTTAATTTTATTTATCTTTTTTTTCTTCTTCTTCTTCTTCTTAATTTGCTGTAAGGCACATGTGCTTACTGGCGAGAGTAAGAGAGAGAAAGGCAAAGTGAGAAAACAAGCTCCTCGGTCTGAGACCTGAATTATAGTTGGCCATGTGGGAGTCCAGTGCCTTAATCACCATGTCAGCTGCTGGCCCCTGGATAGTCTGTTTAATCAAAATATTAAGATGTATAACATGTGAAATCATTCTCTTTTTGTCAATATCTGGATCATTCCCAGTCTTGTAATTGCTATAGATACACCCACCGATGGGATCTTCTTCCTACAGATACATTTTTGCTTCTGCTGAATGACTTCCCAGGGATAAAGTGCTGGGTGTAGACTGTGTGCTTGCCGAGGGCAGAGAGCCTGTCTGGACTGTTGTGCTCTACCTCCCTGGGGCACAGGTAGCATAGTGCTGGAGGCTTTCACAAGGAGTTACTGAATGAGTGGGCTGAAGGGGCTGCTGCTCCCTGTCAGAACCAGAGTCTCACTCGTAGTGGTTTCTAGGATGCACAGGGTTGTTCTCCCTCATTTTCTCATTTCAGGGAGGTTCATTTTTTTAAAATATAATTTTATGATAAGGAAACTGAGATTCAGGATTACCTCACTCAGGATCAGAGTGCGGAACTGCATTCTAACCCCGGGTTTGTAACTCAGGGCAAGGGCGCTTTGTCTTCGCCGCCAGCTACATGGGTCAATGTTAGACTCTCCCTCTACCTCAAGCTAAAATCCTAGGCAGTTAGCAAGGTGTGTGGGGACTGAGTGGGAGCCAGGAGGGTTCAGAGAGCTCTTGAATCACCATAGGATTCCCCGCACTGGTTTGTTTGCTGCTTCACTCTTGATGTCTTCTCGATAAATCATTGACGTTTTGTTTCTTTGAAAAGCTCTTCAGAGAAATTGTGGCAAAGACATCTTTCTGGAGGTTTTTGATTTTTTTTTTCTTTGCACAAGTGATAATCCAAATTCCCCCTCCTCCAGTTAGAAAATTATATACACCCCCCAAATTCAATGATTATTATGTGGAAATCTTAAAAAAAAAAAAAAAACCTTCAGCCACAAAGTGTTTGTTTCTTTTTAAAAATTATTTATTTAATTTTATTTATTCATTCATTTATTTTCATTTGATCAAAGAAAGACAGACACACAGAGAGAAGGAAAGTAATAAAGCAAGCTACCAAGTCTGGGACTCAAACCATAGTCAGCTATGTGGGAGTGTCCAGTACCTTAACCACTGCTTTTTAACTTTGCTGCTGGGTGCATATGCTCACCAGAGAAAGAGAAAGACAACACAGAGATAGGGAAAGTGAGAAGCACCCTCCAGGGAAAATGGCCACATTCAATACTTTCACTTCTATTCTCCTCTTGGAATTTTGGGCATGTACACATGCCTAGTATGTCTCTCAAGCCACTGGGTCTGGGACTCAAACCACGCAGTCGAACATGTGGGATCCAGCTGCCTTAACCATCACCATGCCACTAGCTGGCATACCAATGTTCTTTTTGAATATCTCTCATGTCTACTCTTGTGCTTGACACATTGCCATTTTTCAATAAATGTGAACTTGCTTCTGCCTATTGAGATTCATTGTTCCATTAGCTATTTTTTCTTGAGAGAAAGATTTTTGCTATATAGCACTTGTGCTCACCAGAGACACAGAGAGAGAGAGAGAGACAGAAAGCAAGGAATCACCCCCCCAGAGGGGATGGTCACACTGCAGTCCCTTCTCCATTCTCCTCTTGAGATTTTGGGCATGCACTGTCCATGGGCCTGGCATGAGTTTCAAGCCACCAGATCTAGGACTCAAACCATGGTTGACCTGGTGGGAGTCCAGAGACATAACCATTATGCCACCTGCTGCCCCCCCCCATTAACTTTTTCAACAGAATTTAATGAGCAAGTATTTTGTTTTGGTTCAGCCAGAGAGAGGAAATAAAAAGATGAAGTTCCCTACCTCTGATGAGTCAAAATATTGTTTCTGAAGAGTCAAGATTTTTTTATTTTTATTTTTTATTATATTTTATTATGTTGTCATAAGGCATGGGCACTTGCCAGACAGACAGAGAAAGACAGTGAGAGGAAAACTGAGAAATCATGCCCCAGGAGGGACATCCACACCACAGTCCTTTCTCCTTCATTCTCCTCTCAGGATTTCAGGCACTTACACACACCTGCCCAGTGTGATTTTCAAGCTGTTAGGTCTGGGACTTGAATCACAGTTGGCCAGGTCAGAGTTCAGCACCTTAACCACCATACCACCTGCTGACTTCTGGGGGTCTACTTTTTGGCAGTGAAAGTAATGAGAAATGATCAGTCACCAGACCATTTAAATTGAGGTACCTGTTGTATATACTGCTATTCAACTATCTTCAATAAATATTAGTAGGTGAAAAAAGCATGTGGCAAAATGACACACATGTATGTCATATATCTGTGAAGAAAAAATGTGGTGGGTGCATGTGCATGTGTGAGGAAGTACATTAGACACTGGTGACAGGAGCTACGTTGGGGCAACTTGCTCTCTGTAGGGAGAAGCAGGACGGAGACTCCATTTTCCAAGACACTCTCCTTCACATATTTGAGGTTTTGTTCCATTGCATAGCTATATACACAAAAAGAAGCAATATTTTAAGTGTTTCGATTTACAAAAATGTTATACCAGTAAAAGTATATTCTTAGAGCATTTGTTGATTCAATCCTTGAAGTAGAGAAGAAACAAATACGTAGCTTTACTCAAATTGAACTGTTCTGGTACAAAACTTCAGAATTTGGGAATAAAAACACAAAACAGCCTTCAAAGTTTATTTTCTGATATTTCTTCTAGATTTTAGGAAAATGTAGTCTCTCCTTCCAAAGTTCAAAATCTGACATATTTCCTATTGATTAAAACATGCATATTGATTTTTGTCACTATGTGTTTATCATTATGCTAAGAGAACTCAGATGATCAAAATATGTTTCCAAATTTTAAAACCATGATTCTCATCCAAATGAGGGTCATTCATTCTCATAGAATGAACTCATTAATAGGTTAATCAGCAATATAAAAAAACCAGTTCAAAGGAGAATAAAACAGGTATTGGTTATGGAGAATGTTGGGATAACATTGCTAGCTTAGATACAAAACTAGTTAAATATTCATACTGCAATTAAAGTATGGCATTTGGGGTTATCTTTTCTACTAAGAGAAGTCATTTGCATCTCTGCTAAATATAAGTTTTTATGAAACTTCACAGAGCTGAGACTTTAATCAGTAATGGCTTTCCTGGGATGTAAAAATGTTCTAAAATTAAATTGTAATGGGTGTGTAACTCTTATGACTACACTAAACTATACACATTCAATGGATAAATTGTGTAGTGGGTGGAAATATATTTCAATAAAATTATGAAAAATAACAGCAGTACGGGGCCAGCAGACATAGTGGTTATGGCACTGGACTCCCACATGGCCAACTGCACTTAAGTCCTGGATCTGGCAGCTTGAAACTTACACCAAGCACATGTGCATGCATGCTCGCAATTCTGAGAGAATAGAGGAGAAGGGATTGTGGCATGGCCATCGCCCCTGGCTGGTGATTTCTCACTTTCTCTCTCTCTGTCTCTTTCTTCTCTGTTGAGCACACATGCTCTATTACAAAAACACTTTATAAAAAGGAAAGACAAAAAAGAAAGAAAAAGAAAAAGTAAACAACCATGAAGAGATATCTGCACTCCCGTGTTTATTATAGCAATATTCACAACAGTCAAAACTTGGAATCCACATAAATGCCCAACACATGAATAGATAAGGAAAATGTAGTTTATACATACACAGAATACTTTTCATTAAAAAAAAAGAATGAAATCTTGTCATTTAAGGCAACATGTTTGGGTGCTAGCAGGTGGCAGTTAAGGATTGGACTCCAACATGGCCAATTGTGGTTCGAGTCCTAGACCTGAAGGCTTGCTCTCTCATTTTTCCCTCTCTCTCTCTCTCTGTTTCTCTCTGGTGAGTGCAAATGCTCTATAGCAAATTTTTTTAAAAAATCATAAACAAATTATTTTTTAAAAGGCACATGGATAAGCCTGGAGGACATGATATTGTTCTTTTTGTTTGTTTTTAAGAGAGATTTTTGCTACAGGGAGCGTGCACTCACCAGAGAGACAGACAAAAAGTGAGAAATCACCAGGCCAGAGGAAAGGCCACACCACAGTCCCTTCTCCTCCAGTCTCCTCGTAGGATTTTGGGCATGTACATATATGTGCCTGGCATGTACATACATGTTCCAGGACACGAACTGTGGTCAATTAAATGGGAGCTCAGCAATGTAACCACTATGCCATCTGCTAGTCCCCATGTTCTTATTCTTAAACAGATGTTTTAAAAGTCTATCTTAGAAAAGTAGAGAACAGAACAGTGGTTACCAGAGATTGGAAAGGGAAGGATTTGAAGGCTGGGGAGAAGTTCATCAACAGTTTCAAAATTACACTCAGAGAAAAATAAGATCTGGTGTTCTATTGCACAATAGTAGGGCAACTATAATTAGTGATAATGTATCATATATTAATTCTTTTATTGCCAGAGGGTAGGTACACTTGTCAGAGTAAGAAAGTACCCTCCCCCCAATAGAATGTGGTCACACTGTAAGCTTTTTTTCTTCCCATCTTGCTAGGACTTGGGGCACATACCCATACATGTTAGTATATTTTTCAAGCCTCTGAAACCATGTGGGATCCAGCTTCCAATGCATAGCACTCACCACTATACATTATAAAATAGCTAGA